TAGAAAGGATGTCTAATATTAGGGGAATTTTAAAAATATAAAATATCCTATGCAGATAGAACAATAAATAAAAAACCTTCTGAATCTTGACATCAACCATACTTCAAGATAGTTACTTATAAATTGAAAAGAAGCCACAATGCATTGTACATATTATAGTTGATAATTTTATAGGAAGTATTGTAAATTTCCATTTACTTAATATGCCTGTGTCTCAACGCACCTACAACGAATATACAGAAAAATGCTAAGTAAGCACTGAATTTATAGACAAGAAATTGTTCATCTACATAAGCAAAGAAAAATGCAGCAGGTAGAAAAAAATGAAGTCTTGTAGTTTCTAAATGTTTACCTTTTATAGTTTTGGACTTTAAGACCCATAAGTCATTCTTTGAAGAATAAAATTACATGAATTCAATGCCATGATCTTATAATCATATAAATTAAGTTGTAACTGAGCAAAGTTTGAGTGAAAGGTGCCTGGTGATTGGGAGATGGTGATTTATAGAGCCTTGAATATTTCCAGTGAGTTCAGTGATGGACTTTACCCTAGGAAAGTGGTGTCTTAGGGGAGATCCTGAAGAAAAAGCAGCATGATTGCTGCGACAGGGAGAGTCCAGTTGAGTGGGTAAAACGTGCCACACTTGTTGGGGTAAGCGCACGGCGAGTACATGGTGATGTGGTGATAAGACAGTCTAGTAATGCTTTGACAAGAGAAGGAACAAGAAGATAAGAGAGTGCCAATCCATACAATATTTCTAGCTCAGAATGAGTGATTTATTTTATGTTCTTAAATCAGGATGAATAAGCTAATCTATTTTAGGAAGGAAAGAAACATGTTCTGATGGACAGTGTAAAATGTCCACTCTGATTGTGGTGTGTGGGCATCATTAGATGTTATCTCGAGGGAAGGGGCTCAGATCTTTGAAGGGCATCACTGTGGTATCTAAAAATGGACATGTGCAGCTTACATTCTGATATTGTCTAAAGAGATGAAAATATGTTGATGCATTTGAAAAGAATTTTTTAGCAAAAAAAAAAACAAGAATTTTAATAGATTGACTGTGAATTGTGATGGATTAGGGGATGGCAGGGAAAGTTCTAAGGTGCCAGACTCCCCAACTTACATAATGAAGAGTCACTGTATCATATAGGTTTTTTTTTCTCTTGAGTTTGGTTGAAATAATGTTGACTTTGGTTTTCTACATTTAAAGGTCCATACTTCAAGCCTCTTTTCTCAAGGAAGTAATGAGATAGCAGGTAGGTATTTTAAATAGAATTCAGTACATAGTATTTCAAAGGAACGCATAAACACAAATTTAATATTCAAAATATAAATGGTAACATTTATCTTAGCAAGTTTACACCACACAGAAGAAGGTTCAAGCAAACAAATAAGATGTTTACAAATACTTTTCTAAGTCAGGAAGTTGCTTAAATACTTATAAAAATGATCTTTATATATATTGTCATTTTGGTTCATCAAATTACATGTATAAGTGTATTGTCAAGATTTAGAGAACAAATTGTAAGTAAATGCTGTTCTCTTCATAAAAATATCTCCCATCTCTTTTACATTCTGTGAGATTTTATCAAATACTCTTCGAGTTTTATAATCAAAATAAAATGAAATATTATTTTACTTCCATTTCAACTTTTCTCATGGGTTTTCTAAAAGTCGCTCACATTTCCCTTTTGCTTTATACCA